TCTTCTTGAACAACTGTTTTTTTGTTTTACTTTGTTTTGCCATTTTTTTTTTTTTGTTAACATTATGATTTTGAAAAAAAAAGGCTAAAATTTCACACACACTCACACAAACACCGATAAAAATAAAAAAGAAATTTTTCACTTTTTTTTTGGTTAGCATATGAAAAATCAGCAACAACAAATAATATCAGTCATAGTAACAGTAGTAAAATATAGCCTTCAAAACAAAAATTTATTAAAGAAGAAAAAGGTTGATAAATTTAGTGAATTTTACAAAAGAAGAAAAAACCAAAAAATAATAGAGTAAAACAGTTTTTTATTTTTTTCATTAAAAACTAACTAATCACTTACAGCAGAATCTGAATCTAATATCGATGAATTAAACACTTCTGGTTATGTTAATGGTGGTGTTCTGGCAACTGATCATACAAGTAAAATTTATTGCTCATTTAGTTATTTGTTATATTAAATTTTTTTTCCATTATTATTTTGTCAGTTTTTTCTTCTTCTTTTTTTTTGCTATAATTTTTTTAACAGAGCAATATTTTTCTTCTTTTGAAAACATTTTATCAAAAAGTAACATAGGAACATTTATTGCTGTATCGTTGAATTGTTTAATTGGTATTTTAAATAATAGACAAAACTGAATATTGTTCGTTTTTTTTTTTATTTTTAAGTACTTTTAATTTATTATTAATTGCTTTATATATATATACATATATATTTGTTTGATTTTTTAGTGGAAACTGCTGATACGGGTTTTGTTGACGATTGTACAGTGACAAGCCTAACCAATGCCAATAATGTTCAATCGGCGCATTCCCCGATACTTGCAAATGACTCGTCGATAACAAATATTAGTGGATCTCGGTTACATCCAAGAAGAGCAGGTAATTTATATTTAAAATATAACAAGAAAAAGAAGTTTCCGTAGTAAGTGTTTTCATAAAAGAGTTTTTTTTTTGATAAGCTAAAATAGAATGAAATAAAGATTGATAGTCATTGAATAGGAACAGTTCAGTTGCCTTAAAACGTTGGCAGTAACAAATATTCTTTGTAATACCCAACGAATTTCAAAAAAAACGATAATTTAGACACTGCCTTTTGGACAGTTCTTTTTTAAATCTTATCTTCTTATCTTCTTCTTCCTCCTCCTTTTTTTTTTTGGTTTGGCTTAGTATCGTATGTTTCAGTTGGTCTTTTTTTTTCAATAATTTTTCTCTATTTATAGTCAGATAAATGTTAAAACAAAGCAAAAAAAAAAAAATCTTTTTTTTTCTGTTTTTTTTTTTTTT